ATATCTCTGACATGCCCTGACTCCCTGGAGCCATATCTCTGACATGCCCTGACTCCCTGGAGCCATATCTCTGACATGCCCTGACTCTCTTGAGCCATATCTCTGACATTCCCTGACTCTCTGGAGCCATATCTCTGACATTCCCTGACTCTTTGGAGCCATATCTCTGACATGCCCTGACTCTCTCGAGCCATATCTCTGACATGCCCTGACTCTCTAGAGCCAAATCTTTGACATGCCCTGACTCTCTAGAGCCATATCTCTGACATACCCTGACTCTCTGGAGCCATATCTCTGACATGCCCTGACTCTCTGGAGCCATATCTCTGACATGCCCTTACTCCCTGGAGCCATATCTCTGACATGCCCAGACTCTCTGGAGCCAAATCTCTGACATGCCCTGACTCTCTGGAGCCATATCTCTGACATGCCCTGACTCTCTGGAGCCATATCTCTGACATGCCCTGACTCTCTGGAGCCATATCTCTGACATGCCGACTATTTTAAACATAACAACTCACAAGGACTATGTGATGCAATAAATAATAAAATAATAATCATATGAGATTTTAAACTTTTACTTCTTAACATGTAATTATGGACAGACATGTCATTCAGAATGCAGAAGCTAATATGATTATGTATTTATCTGTCTAGTTCATTGAATCAGTGATGGATGAAGAATGGGAGACTGCATTGAAACTATGTCAGATGAGTAAGTCACAATATTTGTCTTATATTTAATTAAGTATGTACATGTATATATCATTGGTATATGTATCCCAATGTAATTATGTCCACCACTCAAAGATGACAGAGTGCAGCTGTTTATATAGGTGATTGACTGTCCATAAACAATTACATCTTTGACTTCTTTTTAGAAACTACCAGCCCAATTGCTTTGATGCTCATATGTAAATACCTTTGGTGTAATGATTATATGATTAATTCTTTATTTTAGCGGATATTTTTGTAATTTTTTTCTAAAAAATAATATTTTTGACTTCTTTTTGAAAACTGCCTGTCTATTAAATTCACTCTGTTTGAATTTAGACTACATTGTTGAAAGCTAATTGTTATTTGGATTTGCTAAATGACAGGTTTTTGCTTTTTAAGAAGGTACCACTGGTATACTTCTGATTATTAACCTGATTTTAATCACTGTTCACTGGCAATGCTTTTCTGAAGTGCATTATATCTAGGATAACCACTTCACATCAGATGCAGATGGCGGCCATCTTGATTTTTGACCATACTACCATATCTCTAAGACTTATGAACCATATTCATTCATATTTGGCACATACATCATACATGCTAGAATACATGTTCATAATTAGGTCAAAGATGGCTGACTTAGATTTTTGAAAATGTGGTATCCTGGACATGCTTTCTCAATTTTCATTCAAATTTGGTACATTTAATTAAAAACAATTTACCTAGTCACATGACCGGTGATTTTGAGATATATCATAGCAATACATGTTCAAAACAATTCAATTAGGAATCAAATAAAAGACAACAAACTTGCGTTTATTTTGCTTTTTGGTCATATTACTTTATTTTAAGCATGAATAACATTTCTTCTATTTTTTTATTATTTGTGTAGTTCAGTTGTATGAACCTGACAACCCTGAGTGCAAAGAGTTCAAGCCATTAATAGAAGAAATGCTAAGAAGAGGTAAGCAGAGTATTTCCTGTACATACATTTCATATGTTATCGGTACTCAAGTTTCAGTTCAAAATACATTTACCGGATTCTACCGTAAATTCGCCCATCTGAAAAATCGCCCTGGGCGGTTTCACGGCTGGTGGGCCTATATTTGGGGTTTAAATTCTCAAAAAAATTATCATCAATTATTTTTAGGGGGCTTATATTTTCATTGAAATATCCACCTACGCCGATTTTCAACGCCGGCAGTTGGACCACCCAAAACAACAGAAACTACATTTGTATTGCAGAAGCTAATCTAAGTTAAATTTTTATACATTTTATTTCTTGCTGGATTAAAAAGTAGAGAGCGCATTTTTTAACGAACCTCGTGTGCCAAATACAATTGTTTTTTTTTTTTTCATTTTATTAGTAACGAAAGTATATTCTAAATAAAAGAAGTTTCAAATAACAACAAATGCAACTGCATTGCTAAGTAGCAAATGATCGTGGTAGCACAATCCGGTCATGCTGCGTTTTATAATTGTTGATTACTACCTACATGTAGTAATGATTTTAATAACGTGCAAAAAATAAATTTGTTGAATTGTTATGAAATGCAAATAAATTTCAACTTATTTCATCGTAAGCGAATGATTCCGATCACATTTTCAACGCTCGATGCTGTAGAAATGAATATCTGCCATGTTTGACCTGAGATGGTGTTCTTTGACCTAACAGGTCAAATCGATAATTAACCAATGAAAACCATGGATGATGCCAACGTGTTCAAATTACCATAGAACATTTAAATATGTTAATGTTATTGAACTCAGTGTGGAAGAGATTTGCCGATGTTGTTGTACGATCTTTTGGCTAGGATTTTGATTGGAAAGCGGCATGATTTGTTTTTAAATAAAAAAGTTAGTTGTTTTCAAAAGATAAACTGAGCATTTAAAGAATAATTCAACATTATTTACAGCAATAACAGCTCAATGCTAACCCATTCACGCTAGTCGTAATGAACATCACTACGGCGAAACTTTTAGGCATCAGAAAAGATTAAAATAACACCTTAAAAAACTGCCAAAAAATTGCCCTGGGCTATTTCTTTGTCCCTATTTTGTTATTTTAAAAACCCAAACTGCCGTTAAATGGCCCAGGGCGAACTTACAGAAGAGTCCGGTATATCACTTACGATTTCATACAAAAAAATTCTGTTGAAAACCAAGCAAGACACAATTATTCTACTCCATACGACCTTTCAAAATAGTTGAATTTTTGTTTGTTTTTCTTTCAACAGAGAGAGAATATGAATTGTGGGGCAGTGATGATGAATCAGATTCAAGGTATGACCATGTATCTTTTTATTTCCTATTCAGATCTAAAGTTTTGTGGTCTGACAGATTTTTTTACAAAAACTGTTGGTTATAGATAGTTTTTATCTGCAATCAAGTCTTATGGTCATGTGACCCATTGTTGAACCACTACTTTAATTTCTGTAAATCTGTAAATTGACAACACATGTATTCATCTGCTGAATGTATACTGAAATTGTATTAGCTACAAATGACTGTACATAACCTTGGCTAATACAATGGTTAAAAGTGTGCATCTTTAGCCACTGTACAACATCTAGAGTAATCAAGGGGTTCCACAATTGAAAGGCATTTTGGATTTCAATGAACATTCTTGGGGAAATAGATGGCTTGAAATCATCATTTTGATTGTCACATGGTTGAATTATTTTTTAGCAAATGTACAAAACATATCTAGTATTTAATATGTAAGTTAACCTACATGGGCAATGCAACTGATCCTATTAAATCCTTAATGTTTTTCATGGTGCAAGTCTGAAATACTCAAAAGTGTGGGTTTATAGATATAAACCCAACGTTTTGATCAGAGTCTTGTAAATTGCACTCAGGCACAAGGGAGCTTCCTTGTGCAATTTACTTGACTCTAACCAAAACTGTGGGCTTATATCTGTGAACCAACATTTTCCACTAGTGTTTCTGTCTGTCTGTCTGTCTGTCTGTCTGTCTGTCTGTCTGTCTGTCTGTCTGTCTGTCTGTCTGTCTGTCTGTCTGTCTGTCTGTCTGTCTGTCTGTCTGTCTGTCTGTCTGTCTGTCTGTCTGTCTGTCTTCATGCCTGTCCATCCATACTTATGGGCATGTGTGTGTGTGGTGATAGATGTGTATATCAATTTTTTTATAACAATATCTCAAGAACTACTGCTTCGATAGTAAAACAATTTGATACAATGCACCTCATGTTCGTTTCCAAAATTAATTATTCCTGGTACAAATCCATGCATTGGGTAACCATTTGTTTGTTGTGTTTTTTCACACTGGTTATACACATGGCATCTGCTGCTTGTGTTTGATCATAATAATTTTTTGTGCATATTAATTAGCCTTCGCAGACGAAGTCTGCCGAAGGCTTATAGATTGGGTTCTGTCCGTCCGTCCGTCCGTCTTTTACCTCTTATAACTTTGATATGCTCTGTTCATTTATTTTCCAAGTTGGTGCAAATTTTATTCTCAATGCCATGCATATGCACGCCAAGTATTTGATTCGCCAAAGTTTCATTGTGTTTTTCTGTGATTTTCAACATTTAGCTAGTACAAGTGCCGAAATTTGCTGGAAAAATCCGAGTTTTCACAAGAGAACTGGCATACCGTATTGCGCATGCGCCAGTCTAACCGCTGAGGAAATCGCCGTCGATTTCGTCTGAGAATATTGTATTCTGGGACTGTATCTTTCTTTGCACAAGGCTTACATAGATTAAATCTCAAAGGTAAGAAACTGTGCTTTTGGTATTTATTATGAACTTTGATTTATTCTTTTGTGTGTCCTGACTTTAGTGAGAAACGATCGCACAGTGTCACACTTTGCCAGAAAAACAGTCCTGCTATTAGTTCAAGAACTGGTTATGTAACGTGTAAATCGAAAGTTTATCTCGTCATTAAGGAGGCTTAGGAATAACGTTTGGCATATGAAATACTGGAATAATAAAAACGTAAAAGTTTAGA